TGCCTCGTTTGGGGTCCTGGCTGGGTTGTGCTCGACGCATGAAGCTGTAAACCCTGTAGAGGAAGACTTTCACGTCTCTTGATGCACAATTTCCTCTTATGTTATGGGTGGGTTATCGCTTCTGGGCAGTCGCCTTATCATTATCGTTCTGCAATGGAAACGTTAGCATCCATATGCCCAGGTATGCCCGCACACTAATTTTATATACGGAGAGAAACGCCTGTAGCTCAGATTGTGCAGCTTGACTGTAGCAATGGTCATTCCATGGGTGTACAATTCTATGTGTGCACTGGATGCCGTTTCCACTGGTCAGTGTTGCCGACTGTTGTTGCAGGACTTTTGGACCGTGGGGGCCCGAGGCTATCTTGCCTTGATTGACTGGCTCTTCCGATTTTGCGACAGGGTGCATTGGTGTACTTGATACCGACTGCTATTCCGCATGCGGTTGTAGATGCGGCGGGATTGGCAGCGAGTTGTTTGACTGGCGAGTTGTCGGAAACGGAGCAATAGTTTGGTGCATCGGGGGTTTGCTGTGCGTGTCGGGTTTGCATGACAGCTCGGCTGGCCATCTTCAGCAGATTGGTGCCCTGATTGTTGCGGCACAGGGCATACAGAATTCACATGGTTACACGTATGACGCGTGGGAAGTGAATGAGTCCCAGCTGAAATTGATCCGGCACGGTCACGTCCAGACAGAAAAAGGAAACGCTCGATCCTCGAATCGAAGCCTCCACGACTTTGCCAGCACAAATTTCCCGATTGATCTGCGAAAGAGTGACATGCAAGATGTACGACGATGGATCGACTGTCACTATCAGGGACAGGAAATTCTTGACTTTGGCAAGCACGCGGCCCAGTGATCCGAAAGAATGGAAAGGCCGAGCGGAGTTTGCGCCACAAGCCGCAATTGAGGCATGAGAAGAAGGAAGAAGAGTGAGCCCAGACATTGCCTTTCGCAGATTGGCAAGCCTGCTTGTCGAGCTGCCTCCCTGCTTGTCTGTCCTTGTCTGCCTGGTTTGGATCCTCAGATTTGATGAAGTGCGCGGAGTGGTTTCTGCCTCTGCAGAGCACTATCTGAATGAATCCGGCATCCTCAGGTTCTCCGATAGCTAGCTTAGACGCACAAACGATGTACAGATCACGTGGGACTTCTCCGGTGCTGTGTACTTCTACGTAGCACAAGACCCTACCTTTACCACGTGCATGTATGCATCATGAAAACTTAGTTCTCCCCTGATGCCTCCTGAACTCGGAAAACGTCACGCGCCCACTCTTCAGCCTCGCAAATCAGCTGCGGAGGCTGTGGGAACCGAGGGTTTGCAGAGCCTTGAGGATCAGCTGCCGGCCAAGGCCTTGGCGCCTTGCGCTCTGCAGGACCTGGGCGTTTCTCGCATCGGCTCAGTGGATTCTCACATGCTAACAGCATCTGGGCAAGCAACAGACAAGTTTGACATGTAAGCCACTCGTTGCCTCAAAAAGGAAAGCGCGGAAGCAGGACTCACTTACAACTTTCCTGATGCCTAGCCTTGGGAATCGTCGAAACGAGGCGTCTATGCTTGAAACGCGTGCAGGGGAGGACACGGGAAGCTCCTGCCAAACATGTGCCGCCGCTCTGAACTTGCAAAACTACTGTCCCAAGCGATATCCTCGAATGGCATGACTTCCAGGCCCACACAGCCGACGACTGAGCCTGAACGGGTGGGAACGGTTTGTATTGCTTTGAACGTACAATGCAAGGTAAAGACCCCTTTCCTCAATCCCAAGCCCTACACTCAAACCTTCTGGCCGATGGCCCTAAACCCTAAACCCAAAAAACCTGCCCTAGGAATGTTCTATCGTGGCTCCTGATCCTGATTTTCGGTAATGCGTACATCTTCAGTCTCGTCTTCATGAAGGGCAGCTGGCATCTGTGCCCCAATCCGGAGATCGAGCTCGTGTGCCAAAGTTCGGATCTCTGAAGAGCAGCATTATGACTTTTCTCCAGATACAG